ATCCAGCACATCTAAGGTCTCACAGAGCACAACTTCAGTCATGTGCTGCTGAAACAACAGCAAGACCTGCAGTCTGCAGCACTGCCTCTGGTCCCAAAGGTAAAATCCAAACCAAAAGTAAAAAAAAAAAAAGTAGAAGAACTCAAATCAATATTATTTCCTAGACTTTGCACTGAAGGCTGAACCAAACAGCTACCCTCTGTACGCAAATCTAATTTGAAACTCTACTGAGTCTTCACCCACACTTTCATTTTTGTTATTACCACATTGAGAATGTAACAGAAAAGCTTTGCTATGTCTCAAATCCTAACTAGAATGCATCTACTGACAGGAATAATGTATAAAATTGTACATTAAGGGGCACAACAGCTTGGCCCTTTAAGGGTACTGCCTCAGTGACAATCTTGCACCAAATCTTTACCTATCTATCTCTAAAAGGTGCACATCAGTAGTAGTAATTTGTAAAGTACTACTATGAACCTTTTATGGTTAAATAAGGTACAAAGTTGTCAAAGTTGCTGAGGGACAAGCTGTTGTACCCATAAAGGTACAACTTTTGTAAATTTTTTCTGAGTGTGTGATGCCTAAACTGCCAATTCTCTATCTAGGGAGACAGAGTGTTCCATTCAAGATTGGTCATGGGATTTTGCTACTTCAAACATCAGCTTTCCAACCATAAATGTTCTGCTAGGAAGGTGATGTATAATGAAACAAAAGCACAGCAGTAGCATTTGTTTGCAAGAGCACCGACGTTATGCAAGTTGGACATTTGGAAATGAACAATTTGTTAGGCAAGTTGGCAAAAATAACTTTTAAAGAGTACTCAATTCATAACCTTATTAGAAATACACTCTCAGAAAACTTGCAAAAATGTTACTTTTTAGTGGTACAACAGCTTGTCACTAGGACAGTAACCTCAAAGGGACAATTCTGCACCTCATTTACACCTAAAGGATTCATAGTAATACCTTAAGGGTGCATACGTATTGCACCTCTAAGGTACCAACCACCTTTTAGGGGTAGATAAGGTACAAAGTTGTCCCTTGAAGAGTACTGTCCCAGTGACAAGTTGTCATATCGCTAAAGGTACAATTGTTTGCACATTTTTATGACAGGGTATTATAGAATATAACCAAAGATATAGATTTCTTGTTAATTGTTTTGCAACCCAATCACTCAGTGTACTATCTTAGCACACTGTTAGCTGATTAATCTGCTAGCTTACCTTATACTCTACACACATACCCAACTCCTTTGGGACCTAAATGTAGATGTCACCTTTCAACTTTCCAACTTTCCAGGAAGCATTAGCTTTAGTCACAGATTAGCATGAACAATTAAAGCTAATGCTAAAAATGATAACGCTAATGACCACTGTGGGGTTCTAGCTGCATCTGTTTGAAAATGTTTTGTTGCATACTACATATACTTCAGCCTCTATTATTAATACTCTGTTTCATTGCTAGCAGCTGAGGTTTTGTTTGTAAATTCACAAAGATATAGCAGGAGTTGTGCTGCTAGTTCATTAGCGTTCTGTTGAGTGTATGTATGTGTGAGTATCTCTACAGATCTTCCTGACACAGGCCACCCCTGCTGCATTGCTGATGGTGCTTGCAGTTTTGGAGCTGAGCAGACTGCAGTGTTGTAGCACTGTTAGTGCCTGGAGACTCAGATAAAGTCCTGCTCTTACAGTGAACTTGACTATTGGATAGCACTAGGGCTCATCCCCTTCATCACTCGTTATGTTACACATTAATATTCATAGAGGAATAAAATATCAATACAACCCCTCCCCCGATGACATAGTCCCACATGATCACTCTCAGAGTTCACAGCAGGTGAAAACGGCGCACACACTGCAGCGTGTTGCTATAACGTTTACCACCTCTACTGTCCATCCTTATATTGCCATGATGCTGACATCAGATTCATTTGACCTCTACGGTATGTTTCTGTCATACAGTTTTTAGCTGTATTTATCTTTTTGTATTTATGTTTTTGAGGACGTCTCTCCAGGTATTTCCTGGCTCAAGTAGTAGTCTTTCTCAGGATGGGGTTAACACTTTGGAAATAATGCTGACATGGTGACATCCCATTGTAGCCTGTAATCTGAAACGGCCCACCTTCTAACGGGTGAGAGAGGACAGAATGAGAGAGAGACAATGAATGAGAGGCTGAAAAGAATGTGAGATGGATGTGCCGACACACACACATTCAGTCCAGGGTTGTGACCTGAAGTTGAGACTTCCCAGCTGAAAAGACCAGCTTGTTGGGTTTTGGATTTTCTAGAGAAATTGATTTTATTGGATTTTAGTGAGTATGTGCAGGTTTAAAGACACAGTGTGTAATTTCTGCACCATTAGAGACAGTATGTTAGATTTGAGAAGTGGAGTGGAGCTGCATCATTTTGGCTCGAGAGGAGTGGGTTTTTTTGTAAGCCACTACCTCATAAGGGTAACATATAATGGGCTAGTTTTAATATATTGAAAATATATATCGGAAAACTCTTTGATATATTACATAAAATATCTAAAATATATTAGTATATATATAATATTAAACATTATCTTGCCCAATTTCTGTCACTCTTCTAAAGTCTAAACTACCTGCATCAAACAAAATTGCCATCTGTTTGCTTCAGTGGCCTATCAAAGGAACACTGACTCGACCAATGGTGTTAGTTTGGGGTGGGACTATCTGTTTGACAGACCAATGGCAGATGGTTATCGAAAACAATATGAGTTTGGAGGAAAAATGCTAGTCGCTTACAAAACTTTTGAGTTCTTTTGCATTGAAATATAATTGATATTATTGGTCTCTCATAACGAAATATTTATTTTTACAATCACTGTTTTGCTTTAGGGGCTCCATAGATGGGAGCCTGTTTGGAAAAGGTCAAAATTCCGTTAGTTCCACTAGTTGTGCGGAAATTACCCAATGTCGCTTTAAGGAAAAGGGAGAATAAAAAGTCAACACAATATTAGCTATAGAATCTATAGATTTATAAAAGCATTATTCTCTTAAGCTCTTTAACCCATTACAAATGGATTTAGCAGTGGTCAAATCACACAACACCCCAAAACCAGCTTTCCCTCTTCGCTAAAAACTCCAGAGAAGAGAGGACGCGACTGCTCTATACATCTTTTTCTTAGTTTGAATATAGGGATAGAACATGCTAAGACAGATGGGCGAATTTTCTAAAAGAGTTGCGTCATCTTCTTTTCCAGTTGGTAATTCAGGAGTGAAACTGCTCCTTATTCACTAATCACCAACAATCCAGCATCACCATGAGCTAACTGTGTTGGTATATTGTGAGAAGTTTGTGCTATTGCCACTGACAGAAACTTATTTGGTTCAAACAAGATGTTTGTGTACATTTTCTAATGATTATGGCAGCAGTAATTCATCCAGTGATGGTCAAATAATGGAAAATACCTTTAGATCCAGACATGCTGTGCAGCTGAGAGCACTGTCAGCATTTTAAAGAGCCGATTCAGGTGTCTGGATTGCAGTAGTAATGCTGTACTGTTAAGTATCCCACATTGTAGTAGTCTGCTGAAACCCAAATCCCAAAATGTATCCCAAATTGTAGTAGTCTGCTGAGTATAAGGAATTGTGCTGAATTCAGAACAAAATTTTGAACATGCCATTATCATAATTTCTTTATAGAATTGTGTTAAACAACTAAAATGCAAACTAAAACAACACTCTCAGTGGGTGCAATTCCCTCTTCAGTGCTGATGGTGCAGTGTGAAGAGAGAGGGGTCACTTTAGCTCTGCCCTTGAGTGGCATGTGGTAGCCACAGGAGGAATAACATTTGATTTAAAAAAATTAAAGCCTTGCCAAAATTACAGAATGCTGACATACTTTATTCTTCCCCACTTATAGCAGTTTTGCTGCGGCGAGCCACATGCACTCTCACACTCTCACACACACACACACACACACACACACACACACACACGTTTCCCTCTATTGCTCTCAGTATCACCTGGGGGTGTTATTGCTGGACTGGTTACATCTTGTATGTAAGGCTTTTCGGTGCAGTGCATACAGGCTTACTGAGATCAATAATGTCCCAATCCGATACAGGGCTCAACAATAAGGATGGTCCGATGGCCCGGGGCCAATGAGAAGGTTTCTGGACAGTTTGCTTGCTCTGTTGGGCCAGTGCTGTGTTGTTACAATGTATTGCATTCAATCAATCATGTGCCTATGGTTTTATCCCTTGCAAACTTGAACATTTGGTTTTGTGTGAATATTTGTGTGAATATTGTGTGAATATATATACTGAATAATGTAGCAAAATATTCACAATTTGGATTTTAAAAAAAAGTTTTTGAAATAAGTCTATGCTCACAATGGCTGCATTTATTTGATAAAAAAAACATATAGTGTTTTCAATACAGTGAAAACAGCAATATTGTTAAATATTATTGCAATTTTAAATAAGTGTTTTTTTCATTCCTAGTGTCTGAAATGTAATTTATTCCTGCGATGCAAAGCTGAATTTTCAGCATCTTTCAGTGTCACATGATCATTCAGAAATCATTTTAATATGATTTGCTGTAATAATATGATTACTTATCAATGCTATTATTATTTTTAATGGTGAACACAGTTGTGCTTCTTAATATTCTTGTGGAAATTATGATACATTGATTGATCGTGATACATCCTTGCTGAATTAATTTATTTAAAAAAACTGCCCCCCCCCCCCCACCAATTTTTTTATGATAAAATGTATTTTTAAAAATGTATTATAATTATAATATAATGTCCCCCCCCCCCCCCCCACCAATTTTTTTATGATAAAATGTATTTTTAAAAATGTATTATAATTATAATATAATGTAAAATGTATATTATAAGATTTATTATTATTTGTCAATATTATTATTATTCATCAATACATATATTAATATTTATATTGTTTTTTTGTCAATGTGAAATTACAGCCTGACAGGGCAAGCAGAAAAATCCTTATTGTTAAGCCCTGCAATAAAATGTTCTCAATCCATCATTTGAGCAGTCAGTCAGTCTGTAACCCCTTAAAAAATATTTTCAGCCTTCCATGGAGTTGTGCAGACAGTGTAGAAAAGTCTTCCATCTTCTATTCGTTAATTTCACACTGCATGAGTCTGGAGAGACTGCCTTGTATATCCTCCATTTACATTCCTTTCTTTGACCGAGCTAGTAAATAAAAGCTAAGATAGGTTACTGGATTAGTCTTCAAGCCTCTCTACCTACCTGTCTTTTTCCCTTTTCCTTCCTTCTCGCTGGGTCTCTCTCTTAAATGTGAAACACAGTGTTATCCCCCTGCCTCAATTACATTACTAACACTAGGGAGAGCATTGTGTGTGAGCATTATTTCTATGCATTTAACCAAGATCAACCCTCAGATCTGTCAGAAACCGCAATCTTTTTCAGCTGCAAGTTCACTGTGTCCCTCTCATCTGTCTCTCTGTCTGTTTGTCTGAGTCCACCTATAAGAATAGAAATAAATCTAATCTGTCTGTCCTGCCCTTCTCTTCTCTTAATCTAAAACTAATGTTGACACATTCTAAAAAAAGTGCACTTAAAACCTCTTTATAGAAGAGAAAACTCATTTGCTCTGTCTGCAGCTTGTTCTCTTTTCATCAAAGATTTCCCAGCGTCCCTCTGTCCTCTGGTCACACCTGCATGCCTGGTTTGCTCAGGTCACCATTGCCATGGTTACCCCCTCCTCCTCCACATCCTGCCCCTCGGGTGACTGTCTCCTCCTCGTCCTCACTGTCAAACTCCTCGCTCTTCCTCTTGCTGTACCGCTCGTACAGAACCATGAGCACGCCCATCACCCACGCCGACACTGTCCCAGCGCTGAAGATGACAAAGCCGATGGCGATGAAGAACAGGTAGTCCCAGTAACCCAAGCCCTGGTGGCATTCCGATCGCAGCTGCATGCCCACCTCCGCCAGGCGCTGACCCAGCATGTCCGGCGGCCCCTGGCACACCGTCTGCCCCTCATCTAGACAGGAAGTCAGAGGAGTGGATGAGTGAGAATGAGGGTAGGACAGCAACAATCTAAGACTTTTGCTTTGCAAGATATTACTATTTTTTTTATGACAAAAATTTATATTTCAAATAAATGCAGTCTTTTTAAATGTTCACTTTATATTCACTAAAGAATCCTGAAAAAGTATCACAGTTTCCAGGAAAAAAATATTAAGCAGTTGTCAACATTGCTAATAACATTAAATGCTTTTGAACAGCAAATCGGCATAATGTTAGAATGATTTTTGAAGAATCATGTGACACTGAAGACTGGAATAATGATGCTGAAAATTATAAAATATATTAAAACACAGTTCTTGAAAAATATTATAAACATATTAAATATTAAAAAGTTATTTTAAATTGTAAAATTATAATAACTTTTCACAATAGTATATATATATATATATATTAAAAGTATCTGACCTTATTAATATCAGTGCATTACGCAGGCATATAAGAATATTAATATATTATGTACTCGTAGGTGCTAAATGGGAATGACGAAACATGATGGTGTTTATGATTTTGTAATTAGAATGTGTTATGAACAACGAAATATCTTATAAATTGCTTGTACACTTTGTTTCACACAACTGTGATTCATGTGTAAGTACACTTATATAAATGTACCAATATAAAAAATTATATCATAGTTGTTTTCTTATAAAACCAATAGGGATCTGGAACATCAGTCTGAAAGGAACCTTTTGGAAAAGAAGTTACAAATAAATACAGATATGATTATGATTCATAATATGAGTGTTTATTTATGCATATACATGTTAGCAAGTGTCCTAAAACCTGAAAAACAAGAACATGTTTGCTATTAAACGTGCTTAACTTAACGTGCTTACGTCAAGTTTCTTGTCTTTTATTCTGACACAATTTTATCCTCTCTGTCACACACACACACACACACACACACACACACACACACACACACACACACACACACAGTGTCTTGAGCCCTCCAGTAGTGGCCCTGAAGAAGACACAGGTCAGTAACCATCATCCCCATCTTTAGGTCTGAGCCCAGCAGAGCATCAGCCTGTCAGCTCAACATATCAGCCTGACAGAATGATCCACTAACACACTCATATTGAGACTGAGGCCAACTTCTGTGATCCTCAGTTTCTCATTACATACGGTGGGTACGTAATAAAAAAGGAATCACAAAAAGGTAGGTAAAGACGTCTCTTTTCTTCATTTGTCTTTTTGACATTCCACTCAATATCTTTTGTCTTATTAACTGATGTCTGGCCATTTGGCAGTGTGAGTTGTTAGGAGAAATGATGCTGCTTCACCTTTAATCAAAAAGCACTAACTCCTTCATTACAAAGAAGAGAAGAGACTGAGAGAGAATAGGGGCGGCAATAAGTCACCTCTGGGTTTGATTGTCCTGGAAAGAGTCCTGCATTCAGCAGAGATTTAATGAGCACCTTGACCAGCCATTAAAAATAGTGTCAAACTTAATTCCCATTTTTGAACTCAGATGACCTTTAAACCAAGTATTTAGAATGGCAGATGATTTAGTTGAGGTGGTAGACAAAACACCTGGAATGTGTACAGTAATGGCAAGCTTTGTTTTCAAAATGTTTTACAATTCACAGAAACTAGGAATGTCCATATATTAGTATTAAAATAAGTTTCAGAATTCCAAAAGTTTTAACGTGAAAAAAAAGTTTTTGGTTTTTGTGACATTTCCATTCGTTCTTGATTTACTGGATCGTTTTCCCCCCACAAAATTTCTACCAATAAAATATTTTTGGGGGTAGAAATGCTGTCATGCTCTGTATGTTCTTTATAAAAATGCCCATGGTGTTGTAAGGTTTTATTAATTCACATGAATTTTCCAGTTCTAGAAATGAATTTTAAAATAATGCTACCTCATCCAGGGTTTCCAAGATCATAGGAACCTGTTTTTTAAATCAAAACAAAAAAAAACAGTTGTTGAGGGGGTGAATTTAAATAAGTAATATAGTTGTTTTAGCTCATTTTAATGCTTATTTTGTTTTATTTTAAATCATTTTAAATAATGGGGTCCCTTTGGAAGTTTGCTGAACCACTTTTTTGAGAACAACTAAATGAGTATATACAATTTTATTTGCTATTTGTTGAAAATCTTGCACTCAGCACTTTCAAATCTCATTCTAGTCCATTCAAATATGTCGGCTGGTCGCAAGAAATGCTATAATCAATTGTTTAATGTCATTGACGAAATCACAAAGGAACTAATGGAGTTACTTTTTATGTACTAGATCTACTTTTTAGACTATGAAAACATTTCCCAATAGGATCAGCTCACAATTAGTTCCAAATAACAAAAAAATTACAATCCCTCAAACTTTCCATTAGGCTTGTTTGCCTAGGAACATGTACATACACAAAATCCAACATCTGACCTATGCTCAATGGAGAAGCGTGGAAAAGACCACCTGGTGCTAAAGACGGGGATTACAGGTAACTAATCTTCTCCCATACAGGCAAAAATAGCAGACAGACATTATGCAAGTCATTATGATGATTAGTGTGTTCCATACCCTGTGAACTGGGCCAGGAACAACCACCTGCCCCAGCAGAGACACTGTGACCTCTGTGCTTTATTTGCTGTCAAGTTGGTCTCCTACTACAGTCATATGAGCCATGAGGTAATATCAGGACAAACAAGGAAAATGTGGAACTATCTGAGGCGCTCTATGCTTTTCTATTAGCCACATGGTATCTATATTAGCATCCACACCAAAGCATGATAATGTTCTGTTTGTTGTAAGCAAAGGCTGCGGTTTTGTTTTCTGTCGCTTTAAATGCATCAGTTCTTGAAAGCAGTAAGGATTTTAAATGGTTGTCGATGTTTTATTGTTCATCAGCTCAAAAAAGTTTTTTCGAAGTGATTCCAACAATATTGTTCCTCTGTGCCGTTATTGTTGCGGCCGTGGTGTGGACTCTGCTATTCTTTTAAATTCAGAATGATTTTTTAAACTATCCTTATCATTATAGTTATCATCCTTGTTGTGAATGGGCATTAAGACTTTTTAATATTTTTGGTATCTTATGCTCACCAAGGCTTCATTTATTTGATCAAAAACACAGTAAAAACAGTACTATTGTGAAATATTATTACAATTATAAATACCTGTTTACTTTTTAAAATATATTTTCAAATGTAATTATTCCTGTGATGCATTTAGTCAATAGAAGCAATCAAAACAACAACGTTTTTTTTTAATAATAAATAAAAATAATAAAAAGTAGATAGAAAAGAAACAGAATAGATAGAGCTGGCTTTAGAGGGTCTAGTTATTATTTTTTTCATAATAATTCAAAAGAAAACAAGTATATAGAATAGAAAGTTCTAGTGTTAGAGGGTCAAGTGTAGATGGAAGAGATTCTTGAAAATGGCTAAAGACTCAGCCGCTCGGATTGATTTGGGCAGGTCATTCCACCAACAGGGAACAGTTAAGGTAAAAGACTGTGAAAGTGATTTTGTGCCTCTTTGGGATGGCAGAACACAAGCTTCTGAGGGGCACATAAGTCTGAAGTGGTGAATTTAGGCAAAGGGGTGCAGAGCCAGTGGTTGTTTTGTAGGCAAACATCAATGGCTTGAATTTAATGCAAGCAGCTATTGGTAGCCAGTGTAAATTAATGAACAGAGGTGTGACATGTGCTCTTTTTCATCTCGTTAAAGATTATACTTGCTGCCACATTCTGGACTAGCTGCAGAGGTTTGATAGAACTGGCTGGATGACCTGCCAAGAGTGTGTTCGAGGAGGAGGGGGCCCCAATCGCGGAAGGGGCCTGAGTCAATATGCTGTTCAGGGAGCCCAGAAAGCATAGCGACACCCCTGATTATCTTAGACGATATCGCACACCCCTAATTCTAAGGTATATTTGGCAACACATAATAAATAGCTACCATGTAAAAAACATGAGGACTTAAAGGCAATAACATTTTCCTATTAGCTCCAATAATTGTTTTCCTATTAGCATACGGCCGAATGAGGAGCTTGTAAGTCTCTTTTCTGTCACGCACATCCATGCGTCGATTTAAAGCATTCATAAGACTATTTGAGTTCATACTGACAGGACATTAATTGCATGAGCGAACACACACAAACTATATTTGGCTGTGTTTCAGGCACATGCACTAGGGCTGATATGGTTTGGTCTGACAGGAAGCACTGTGGTGAAAGAAGTGAAAGTGTTTCTTAGTGTCGTCGTTGAAGTGCTGCATGAATCAGAGATTAACACAGAAAGCATTTGCAATGAACGAACCAAGATGCAAACAGAATTTGACACTGAGCGGACCTCGACGCCCTCAAATGTTTCTCACACACACACACACAGTCATTTCTCAAACCCTTGCCCAATGTATAACCTTACATTGCATTCTAGACTAGAGGGTTTTCTGTGTGTGAGGACACATCACTCGCTCTCATTATCTAAAGTCCCATAACCATAACTCTGTCATTTATGTGTAATCTGTCCGGCTCCTCCCTCTATGATTAGCCTCTCTTTCTTCTTCTTTTTTCCTCTCCATGCATCCTTCTTTCCTCGAGGGCATATTAGTTCAAACCACGGTCTCTTGCGTCATCATCTGTGACACACACGCACACACACACACACACACACACACACACACACACACACACACACACACACACACACTGAAGAGGGTGATTGCTCATTATTGCTCAGAATGTGTCATTACAGAGATAATCTCACTGTGCCCGCCGTCAATTTCCATTTCCCCTCACCCCAGAGGTACAACAATTTTTCTTGCCATTTGAAATTGGACATTACTACAGCTGTAAAAATCTAAGCCCTGAAACACTTCATTAAGTGCATGTGTGGATTCATCCAACATCAGTGATTGACCTCACAAATGCTCTCCTGGATGAATGAGCAACTATTCCCACAGAAATACTCCAAATACTACAAAGTCTTATGGAAAGCCTTCCCCACACACACACA